AAATAAAGTTAAAGAAAATAATTCTTTAAAAGTTCTTTTTTAAATTAATTAATTAATTTAAAAAATAAATTAAAAAAAAATTTAAAAACGACCAGAGAAGGACAGAGAGAGAGAGCAAGAGAAAGCCACCAGGTTCAGGATTTGAGCCGCAGTCAGCCATGTGGGAGTGCAGTGCCCCCAACCACCACACCACCTGCCGGCCCCTTCCCTCTTGTCTCACACTTGCTGTGGCCCTGTAGACACTTGGTTGGTGGCCTGTAGCGTGGACTTTGGACTGGTAAGAGAGGCCCTGGTGATAGCAGGCATTGGACGGACTTGGCTTAGAGCTCATTTGGTCCTGAGGTCTTTCTCTGGGGTCCACTGGATATGAGGAGCCCATCGTGGGTCCCTGGGGACAGTGTACCACACAACATTTTATTAAAACTTTGGAGTAAAAACATACATATTTTCCTGGAGAGACGATTGTGTAGTTTTTAATCAGATCTTTAAAGGGCTTATGACCCCTGGAGACTTTGGGGGCAGGTGAGGAACCTGAACTGATCTCAGCGCACGTGGCCGTAGATTTAGATCACAGATTTAGGGAGTAAGACCCTGACTCCAGGGCCAGGGCTGTATCCCTTCTGCACTTGTTGCCGTTGGGGGAACAGGTAGGTGGCCTGAGTCCGTGCAGACAGCAGGGTAGGAGGACGGGGTGGGCCTGGTGCTTGGGCGGCCCCTGCCGACTCCTGTCTGTCTCTTGGTCGCTAAGCCGTGTTGCCCTCCCCGCAGAGGCTGGGAAGCAGCAGCATGCAGCCAGAGGAGGGCACGGGCTGGCTGCTGGAGCTGCTGTCCGAGGTGCAGCTACAGCAGTACTTCCTGCGGCTCCGCGATGACCTCAATGTTACCCGCCTGTCCCACTTCGAGTATGTCAAGAATGAGGACCTGGAGAAGATCGGCATGGGCCGGCCTGGTAGGTGGGACATCGGCCTTGCTTGTCTCCCCCAACCGTTTACGTCCTCCGTCCCCAGGATTGCCGGGGGCATGTGGAAGAACCCCTGCCCCCTTTTCCATATGGCAGCTGAGAACTCTGCCTGCCTGCCCTGGTGCCCCTGAGGTGGGGTGCCCTGAGGTGGATCAGTAGATCCTACACGTAGGAAGGCACTGAGAACATCTTGCAGTTGCAGAGGGGAGTCGAGTTTGAGAAGCATGAAGTTTTCCAGCTCTGACTGCATATCCCTTTTGTCCAATCCGGCACTTGTAGGGTGGGTTTCCTCCATCTCCCCCTCTTTTATAAGCATAGAATGGAGTCTGCGCTGCTCACCATTCTGAACACCTGAGGGGTCAGTGCCCCGAGACCTGTAGGGAGAAGAGGTTAAAACGTTAGATGGTTTGCTTGACTTCCCCTTTGTCCATTTGTCTCTCACTCACACACCAAGATCTCTTCTAAGGTGAATTCATTCTTTATCTTTGAATTTATTCTAAAAGACATAGTTTATGGGACCAGCAGTTAGCGTAATGGCTATGTCCCTGGACTCCCACGTAGTCGACCGCGGTTTGCGTTCCAGACCCGATGGCTTAAAACTCACGCCAGGCGTGTGTGCGTGTGTGCCCAAGATCCCAAGAGGAGAATGGAGGAGAAGGGATTATGGCGTGACCATCCCCCCTGGGGGGTGATTTCTCGCTTTCTGTCTGTCTCTGTCTGTCTGGCGAGCGCAAGCGCCCTATAGCGAAAAAAACCTCTCCAAAAAAAAAAAAAAAAAAAAAAGTTTTTTTCCCAACACGCATT